AATTTCTGCCTCAATGCGGCGTGGCTATCAGCTTGTGGCACTGCTGAGGTGTTATGGAAGACCAGGATGCTTCAATAGCGGCCTTCAGCTCTTCTGCATTGTTTGGTCTCATGTCTCTCATCTTTTTCTTGGCAATGCCCCATAGATTCTCTATGGGGTACAGGTCATGCGAATTTGCTGGCCAATCAAGCACAGTAATCCCATAGTCATTGAACCAGGTTTTGGTGCTTTTGGCAATGTGGGCAGGTGCCAAGTCCTGCTGGAAAATGAAGTCAGCATCCCCATTAAGCTCATCTGTGGAAGGAAGCATGAAGTGCTCCAAAATCTCCTGGTAGACAGCTACGTTGACCCTGGACTTAATGAAGCACAGTGGACCAACACCAGCAGATGACATGGCTCCCCAAATCAACATAGACTGTGGAAACTTCACACTGGACTTCAAGCATCTTGCAGCGTGTACCTCTCCATTCTTCCTCCAGACTCTGGGTCCTTGGTTTCCAAATGAGATGCAAAAGTTGCTCTCATCAGAAAAGAGGACTTTGGACCACTGAGCAAAAGACCAGTTCTGTTTTTCTTTGGCCCAGGTAAGACGCTTCTGATGTTGTTTGTTGTTCAGGAGCGGCTTGACAAGAGGAATACAACATTTGAAGCCCATGTCCAGGATCCGTCTGTGTGTGGTGGCTCTTGATGCACTGACTCCAGCCTCAGTCCACTCCTTGTGAAAGTCCCCAACACTTTTGAATGGCCTTTTCCTGACAATCCACTCAAGGCTGCGGTCATCCCTACTGCTTGTGCACCTTTTTCTTCCACACTTTTCCCTTCCACATAACTTTCTATTAATGTGCTCTGATACAGCACTTTGGAAACATCCAACTTCTTTTGCAATTACCTTTTGAGGCTTTCCCTCCTTATGGAGGGTGTCAGTGATGGTTTTCTGCACAACTGTCAGGTCAGCAGTCTTTCCCATGATTGTGATTCCTACTGAACCAGACTGAGAGACCATTTAAAGGCTCAGGAACCCTTTGCAGGTGTTATGGCTTCATTAGCTGATTAGAGTGGGACACTTTGAGCCTAGAATATTGAACCTTTTTACAATATTCTAATTTTCTGAGATTGTGGATTTGGGGTTTTCATGAGCTGTAAGCCATAATAATCTCAATTATGACAAATCACGACTTGAACTATCTTGCTTTGCATGTAATGAGTCTATCTTATATATTAGGCTCACCTTTTAAGTTGCATTACTGAAATAAAGGAACTTTTGCACGATATTCTAATTTTTCGAGTTTCACCTGTAAGCAATGGGGAATTAAGTAGGGTTCTTGACTGTGTAAAGATGGCTTCTTTCTGGCTTAACTTGTGCAAGGTCACCCTCGCTTATAAAGTGTGGAATGAATGAGCATGTATCACTTATCTTCCCTTGAACATCAGTCCTCATTTTGCTCATATTATAGTACATGTTGGTTCTTTTGGTCCCGTGAATTGTAGTCATTGAACAAGCCACAAAATACTAACATGGAATTCTGCTTCAGGTTTGAGTCAATCAGAAGCACTATCATCCAAGGTCTATCATTGTGAGAGTGAGGAATTTTGCTTGATTGCTGAACCCACTCAGAATGTTAAAAAATGGTGCACACATTTTCACACAATGGCTGCTTTCAAGAGAAGATGAAAATGATCCCTGCCAGCTGAAGGGCACCCATTAAGTTGGCACCTACAACCACCTGATTGAATCCCTATCAGTGGTGAATGCCATCTTAATATGTGTATTCAGTCTTTTTGTTGGGGGTGAGTGGCTTCAATCATCTAATTGTACCTGCCGCCTTGATTTGTTTGACCAGCCCTGTGGATTTGTCTGCCTGCAGTCCCTTCTCTAGACAAGGGCAGAAAGCATGTTCCATTTCCATTTATGTGTTTTTAATTTTTTTTATAGGCAGGTGGGAACATTTCAAAGTGTTGGGATGTAGAAAATAGTCTCATTTTCTAAGAGACTTGTCGGGTCTCCATGGGCCTGACAAATTGTTGGGAGTAAAAGTGTTGCTGAAGGCATCTGCTTTGCTTTGAAGCACGTCAGCTCCCATTAAATAATATTTTTCATGAAAATAATATTTTTGTCAGAAGAAGAAAACTTCATGGCAACCCTTTCCTTCCTGATCCATATCCTGCCTATCTCCAAAATGTCTCCTGTTGCCACGAAGTTTTATGATTCCTTCTTGAAGCTTAAGCTTCCTTCCACTCTCTGTTTTTCTAAAATATTTTTGTACTTGCGTAAACCTTGAGGTTTGCCTAGCTACAGATCATTTTCTTCATTCTGAAGGTGCTTTGACATAATAAGAGTCAATCCTCAAAGAGTGTTTGAGGCTAAAATAGAATTGGCTAGCTTGTGATGGTATGCTGTGGAAACCCACCCAGTATGGTTAATGCATGATTCTATGTCCTATGCAATTCCAGTGACTTAATAAACCATGTTTCAGATATGTCTCAATATAGCCAATGGATTGGCTGTTCTGTGGCAGCACCCGAGGAGCTACTGAAATCTATCTTTGTGACTCGACACACACAGAGAGAGACAGTGACTATCCATCCATCTATCTAATCTATCTATCTAATCTATCTATCTAATCTATCATCTATCTATCTATCTATCTATCTATCTATCTATCTATCTATCTATCTATCTATCTATCATCTATCTATCTATCTATCTATCTATCTATCTATCTATCTATCTATCATTATCTATCTATTTATATCTCATTTGTCTGTAGGCCCATCTTTAGAACACAACTCTGGGCAGCTAACAACAAAACCATAAAACTAAGGGCATACATGAATTCAGTTCATGTGAAGAGTCAGTGCTTGTGCAAACCTAGAATATAGACAGTGAATGATGGTTTATTTAATAATGGGTTAGTATGTTGTGTGACAAATCATCATGTTGCAGGAAACATTAAGAATCAGATTCAGGTAGTCCTTGATTTACAACTATAAACTGGGACCGAAACTTCTGTCACTGAGCAAAGTGGTGTTTAAATGAGTCATGCCCAATTTTACCACTTTTTTTGCTGTGGGTTGTTAAGTGAGTCACTATGGGCATTAAGCAAATCTGTCTTTTCCCATTGACTGCTTGTCAGAAGCTGCCTTGAGTCATCATGTGCAAGTAGCCAGCAATATAAATTTTCTAAATAAATAAATAAGGTCACAAATGGGGATCACATGACCCAGGACCCTGCAAATGCATGCTGGTTGCTCAGTACCTGTACTCTGATGTGATGACTGCAGGGGTGCTGTGAGGATTGAAAGCATAAGGACTGATCATAAATCACGTTTTTCAGTGCTGATGTAACTCCCAACTAAATGAATGGTTTAACAAAATAATGGTTTAACTAAATAATGCAAAGGGTAAGCCCAGGCAGCTTTGCAGATCTGGGGCACCTCATTTGAAAATCCAACTTCCTTCAAATCAAGCTAATGCTATTTTGTGGTGGGTCTCAATAGGTAATGAACTAAAGGATCATAGTGAGGATGGTCAAAGTTATAACCCTATAAGTGGCACAGTGGGAATCCTGCCATGGTTCTTCAACATCACTGTAGAGGAACTTCTCCACAAATGAGTTTCCCACAGGCTGTATTTGCACCTTACACTAAGCCACCCCTACTTGAATCTGGGTGTGACCCAACCCATCTGGTTAATCAATGGTTCCCTTTTCATATGTAAAGCCAGAAAAAACGGTTTGGTTAAATAAAGAAGACAAGAATCAATGGATGGAAATGAATCAATGAGAGAAACAACCTGGAATTAAGGAGAAACTTCCTAAGAGTTTGCCTTCAGACATTGTGGATGCCCCATCACTGGAGGTTTTTAAGAAGAGACTGGACAGCCACTTGTCTGAAATGGTATAGGGTTTCCTGCTTGAGCAGGGGCTGGACTAGAAGACCTCCAAGGTCCCTTCCAATTGTTTCTTTATTCTATTCTAAAGCTCTTTTATCTATCATGCAAACTAAATAAGTGAAATGAATCATGGAGGACCACATTGGCAAAGCAACTTTGCCTTGATTTTCTTGAAACTAAGCCTCAAAGTCTGGCTTAAGTTTGCATCTCTAACTTCCTTCTGAGTTGCCGACCAAGCACCTGAAGCCCCCCTAGCTGCAAAATGCTGGAGTCAGCATACGGAAGCAGCTGTCAAAGCAGGCTAGAAGATGGCAGGGTTGGATTTGAGGGCTACCTGCAGTGGCAGAAAGGGAGCAGTTACTGGACCCGGGTGTCCATGTCGATGAGGGAAACGGCTCTGGACAGAAGAAGCAGGAAAATAGTCCCTTGGCAGGGAACATTTCTAGATGGCAGAGTCATTTTCTCCAAGGCCAGCCTGGTTAGGAATTCTTGGAGCTGCACGTGAGAGAAAGTTGGAGGGCGGGGTCGAGTTCACCTGGGGGATGTTGAAGTCACTTGGAACATACTGTACGGAGTTTGGGGCTCCATCACACGTTTGAATAAGGCTCCCGCCATTCCCTCCTCCGGGAAGCAGAACGCACGGTGCAAATTCGGCAAACGCGGAGGGGAAAAGACCGGGTCCATCACCCAGCCCAGCCCAGAGGAGGGGGGCTTACTGGAGCTGGACGCAGCTAAGGGCGCAGGTGGGACTCAGAGGCCGCACCGGCGGTAGCCGTTCCCGGCAGTGGAGTGGGCGAAGCGACACCCTCCGCCCCGTCGAAGTTGAGAGAGGCAAACCGGGGGTTCGCTGGAGGCCGGTCGCCCCTCCCTCCACCCCCCGGAGCCGGCGGCGCCCCCCCCCTCCCGGGCAGCTCTCGCGGGCTCTGCCCAGTGTCGGGATCGCTGCTCGCTCGCTCGCTCTGCAGGGGCCGCGCTCCGCCGCCCGCAGCCAGGAGCGGCTCTTCCGCGGACCCCGTTGCTCGGCGCTTGCCTCGCCCCTTCCTCCCCCCCCCCGCCCCCCCCCCCCCCCCCCCGCTGCCAGCCGGAGCGGAGCCCGGGCGGCTCATTGCGGAGTGAAGCTGCAGCCGCGATGGCCACTACCGTGACCTGCACCCGCTTCACCGACGAGTATCAGCTTTACGAGGAAATTGGCAAGTAAGGAGCCGAGGCCGCGAGGTCCGCCCGGGGAAGTCGGGGCTCCCCTTTCCGAGCTCGACGCAAAGCCTCCCCGAGACCGGGCAGGCGGAGGATGGGGGTGGTGGAAGGAGAGGCGAGCCCGGGACGCTGCAGCCGAGGAGGGGCGCCTGCAGCTCCCCTCCAGCCTGCCCGCAGAGCGACCGTCCGGGCCCCGCGCGGCTCGACCGAAGGCGCGGGGGGATCCTACCCGGCGCTGCGCAGCCATGACGCACGTTGCAGAGCTGCGGCCGGCGGACCCGCGAGGAGGCGAGAGGGGGGGAGCCGCGCAGCCCCCCGCCGCTCCCTTCGCCAGAGCCGCGCGCCTCCTGCGGCTTCTCCTGCGCCCTCCGTCGGAGCTGGCGCCGGGGAGAGCGCCGGAGCCGCAGCTCCCTTGCTGCAGTGGCGGCCGCCTTGCCCCCGACTGGCTCCCAGGCGGGCAGAGCGAGCACGTGGCGCCGCCGGGACTGGAGGGGGCTGCCCGACCCGCGAGGGGGGCTGCGAGGCTCTGCGCTCCGGCCCATCGGCCAAGCGTTGCCGAGGGCGGCGGTTGTTGCTGCCGCTGCTTGTTGCGCGCCGGAGCGGGGAGGGAGGGAGGGAGGCCGTGCAAGCCCTGCTGCCACCGCTTGCTGGGCTCCCTGGGCGAAGCGGGGCTGGTTGCCACTGCCTGGCAAGGGGGGGGGGGAAGAGGGGAGTTTCTGGGCTGCCCTGGGGGGCGAGGAGGTAAAGCGCCTGGGAGGGAGGAGGAGGAGGAAGGGGTTAATCGTTTGCCTTCCGATCCAGCCTGGCCGGGGAGGGGCTGGGCTCAGGGAGAGCCCGGGAGCCGGGCGTATTGCGTAACGCTGGGGAGGGGTCGGGGAGTCCGCCGCTCGCCATTGGTGTGGCCGCCCTTGCTGCCTTCCAGAGGGACCGGGGAAACCGCCCGCCGGCCGAGCTCCCCTCCTGGGATTACGGAGAGATTCTGCGGGCTTTCTCCGCAACGGTTGGCGGGGGGGGGGGCTTGCCCATTTAGACCCCCCCCTCCCCGCCCTAACTTCAATATCTGCAGTTTGGCTGTGACTTCTCATTAAAGGCGGGCGCTCTGCACCTGCTCAGAGGCACTTCGGCCCGGGCCGGGGTAGAGCCGCGTGGCTCCGGAAAGCCGAAACGACCCCAGCCAGGATACTGTCCCGATCTCTGCCTTGCTCGCTTGGAGTCGAGCCAAACCAGGGTCGGGGGGTTCCGGTGTTCATCGCCTAGGCGCTGGGAGCGGTTTCCCCCAACACGTGGCCGAGGACAGTCCGACCCCTTTAATTGGGGCAGCCGGGTCCCAAAGCAGCTGCTCTCCTTCCTGCTTCCCACGCTTGCTCCTGCTTGTGGTTCCTCCGCAGCTGGCGATCACAGCCACCCTGAACGTTGAGCGGGGAGAGAGTGACGGCGAACCACCCCTTTCGCCTTTCTGCGTGTCTCCTCTTGTTCCCCCCTCTCCTCTGTATCAAGGGCAGCCCAGGGTGGAAGTCCAGTTTGTGGATCTCTTTCCAAGTCGGCTTCGCATGGTCCCAGATATGTGGAAGAGAAGAATTCCCTCCCTGTTCCTTTGTATTACTACAGTTTGAAATTCCGAGAGCCACAAGCAAGACCTTACTAGAGCCTTGGGGGAAAAGATCTGCATCACCTCCTATCCAGCCTATTGGATAGACTGGGGCTTTGAAGCTAGGGGAGCACCGCTGCTTTCAGGTTTCCTCTTCCACATCAGCCATCTCTTTAGACCTCACCCCCAGTCATTCTTTTCCCATTCTTTTAGTTGCTGCCGCCACTTCTCCTCCCCCCAGAAATGTGAATTCTCCTGGGGTGGCAAAGTCAGGTTTGTGGCTACCTAAGGCATAAAGCAAATTTCAAGGATTCCAGGGGTGGTTTAGGATGGCTGACCTCTTTGCTGTGCTGAATGAGTGTGTGTGTTAGTGTGCCTGTGTAAATGTACATTATATAATATACTGTGACAGTCTTAAAAAACAGCTACTGATATAAAAGCCATGGAAACAGACTAAGCAGTGCTTTTTTGCTGTCAATAATGGCATGGGAAAAGCAGAACAGCTGGTGTCTCAACTTGATACATTGTTAATTGTTTATTTAGTTTTTCAAGGGACCCCAGAAGCTTTGAAGTTCCCTCCCAACTTGTTGGTTTGGCTTCCCCACTAAGATCTTTAAAGGGGGAGAAATAAAAAAAAATATTTAGCATGTGTAAAATGCTTCTCTCTCCCATCCATTTCATCTCTTCCCCATTTCAATTATGATAGAACTCAGACGACTTGTGTCAGGGTGGAAGGCCAGAAGAAACGTTTGTTGGCTTAGGTGGTGTTGCAAATCATGGGTTGTGGTCATAAATAACAAGTTTTTAAAAGCTGACAGGCTGTTTTTCCAAGATCAGCCTCTGTCCGGCACACATGCTTTTCAGCAAAATGAAAGAGGAAGAATTACAACTCTGGATGCAACCCAAAGCTGTCTTTTCATATCTCCTTTATAATGCAGCATCTCTTCTCTTTTTCCTTCTGATGCTTATCTGCAGCCGTCATATTTTTTTTTTTTTTTGCCTGATCTAAAAGATTCCTAGAACCAAATCTAAGCAGAAGATAGGACATGGGTAAAAAAAAATCCCTTGAGATAAGATGCACCTCCCCAAATAAGAACTTTGCCCACTGGGATTTTCCCCCCCCACACACACACAGAATTAATTTGTGGCTTTGTACAATAGAAAACCCCATAGAACTACTGTTACATATGTGTATACCTGTGTTATTAAGAGGTGTAATGTTCTTCCTTTATACTGGTGGGTACTATACTGTTACGTACATTTTAAGATCTAGTTCTTTCAGTATTCTGTGTCAAGCTTCCTACACTGGCAGTATGAGTGTTACATTTATATCATGGTTAAACTCTCTTTTTTGAGTGGGAATTGCACTTGTGTGTGAGGTGCTTGATGAGGTATGATGTGGCAGGTAAAGCTAAACTAAATCCCAGGGTGAATTCCACCAACAGCAAATAGGAATTCATTGGGTGATTTTGAACCACTCTCTCAGCCTAACCTCTTTTTCAGGGTCATTTTGAGGATAAAAGAGAGATCCTCTTATAAGCTGATATAAGCTTCTGGGGAAAAAAGGTGGGCTATAGATCTTCCCAAATAGTTCCAAAAGAATGGTGGGGGGGAGTGGATGGAACCCATGGAAAAACAACATGTGATTAAGTTAACATTAATTGAAGTGACAATTAACAGGATTGCTCCCCATATGTTGAATTGTTTTCTCTTTCCCCCTTTCAAAATGATAGTTCAGTGTGTTAACTCTAGCAGAGACCTCTGCACCATGTGCAGTCCTGAGTTGACATAAGGCTAACTTTGGAGCTACCATTTCATTGATTGGTTTCATTGCAGCGCTTATCTTCTGCTGGTCGGGATGAGAATGCTTCCCCAGCTTCTAATAGCCAGCCAGAGCTATCCAGATTAGTAAATTGCAGTATAGTCAGAGCAAACTCAAAGAAGAGATGTGAAACATCTTGGATCACTGGGTCCACCTTTTCCATCCTGTACCTTCTAAAGATCTTGGACTTTACCTTGTCTGTCATTGTCCTCAAAGTGCTTTTTCAAAAGGCAACTGGACTTTGTTCTTTCCTTGAAGACATTTCACTTCTCATCTGTGAACTGAAGAAACTTCTAGGGTGAGAAGTGAAACATCTTCAAGGAAAAACCAAGCAAGTGCAGCTGCCTTTTGAAAAAGCATCCTTGGGATGCTTGGGATGACCTGCATGATTGAGAATCTCCATAGACACTTGCCTGTCATTCTTAGCCAGATTGGCTGAAGGAATGATGGGCTTTGGAGTCCAATTCTTCTGAAAAATCCCATGCCAAGAAGATTGGCTCAAAAGATACATTGATGTAGTGGTAGACATCCCTTTATGAAATATGTAGCACAATATCCTCTTGTTAGAACATGGCAGCTTTTCTCCTTTGTCTTAAAATCAACCTTATTCTCTTTGATAATTTTGCTATAACTGTCTTGATTTCTAAGCTAGGACTTTTTTGTGGGGGAGGGGAGTGATGTAGTCTGCAATTCTGGTCAGTCAGCTATTACCAAATGCAACCGCTCAGGTGAATTTCTCCAGAAGCCTTTCACTTCCAAAGATGATCCTTTTTTTTAATCCAGCAGAAAGTAGAGTTTGTTTGTAGCTTCTCAACAGTGGATGGTGATGCCTTTATGTAATGTTAGGACTTGGATTTAATGGGTTTATGAGATTCTCGTATGCATCAGAGGAAGAGACACTGTTGATACTGTTATGTTGAAGTGATAAAATGAGATATCTAGCAATCATCTTATCCATCCATCCTCTTCTGACTGTTGCTGCTGAATGGAATTGTCATGTCTTCTCTAAATCAGGGGTCCCCAACCCCTGGTCCGTGGACCAGCACTGGGCCATCCAAACAAGCGAAGCCCCATCTGTGGGATGCAGGCAGCATACAAACCCATGCCCCCTCTGGTCCGTGGAAAAACCTCTCTCCCTGGTGACCAAAGTTTGGGGGCAAGCTGATCTATTTGGCTGTTAGTTCCTGAGCCCAGCTGGGATTTGAAATTTGACAGCAGGGGCTGTTCTTGAGACATTTTGTTCCTGGAGGTGAAGAAGTTGTTCTTGCTGTCACAATTGCTGGGGCTGATCCTACCATAAGACAGAGTGAGGTAGTGGGTCCAGGAAGCAGTGGTGGATTACAGGAAGCTGGTAATATGTTCTCTGTGTTACACTGTAGTACAGATTGTCCTCAAACTAGAACCATTCATTTAGCGAACGTTCAAAGTTACAATGGCGCTGAAAAAAGAGACTTATGACTGTTCCTCTCACTTAGGACAGTCGCAGCATCTCCATGGTCTTCTGATCAAAATTTGGGCACCTGACCACAAATATGTATTTATGAGGAAATTGTAGCGTCCTGGGCTCATGTAATCACTATTTGTGATCTT